GTTACAATGACCCATCAAAATCTACCTGCTGGAAACTGTTTTGAGCCACGTTAAGTTCACTCACGCAACAAGTTTCTTGAATCACTTGTTTTCTAACCTTTATTTTGTAGGACTAAGATCGTTGTATGACGTGTCAGTGATCAAGTATTGGGACAATGGCTTCCGTCACAGACGCAGAAGAAGCCTTGCATTCAACGAACGGGAAACAAAATTTCCATCGACTTACAAGACTTTTGATGTCTGGAGGCGTCAGGCTTCTAAGAGAAAAGTTTGATTCTTTACACTCGCCCACTGATCTTCCATTAAAGCTTAGTGATCCTGCTATAAAAACCAAGCTGAGACGAGCAAAGCTCTCTTCACCAGAATGGAAATGCCTCTACCCCTCCCCTGGTACGTTTGGCAAGTCCGCCGATTTCGATATCACTTTAATGTTTAGACTATTCAGAACAATATGCAACTTAACAAAGCCTGTCACGGGATGGAATAATCTTCCAAACAGTACAGACCACAGTCTTGAAGCTGATTTAGCGCGGATAAAATACTACCGCAATTCCGTTTACGGGCACAACAGCAAAATGGAAATTATAGAATCTGAATTCTGTAATCTTTGGAAGGAAATCAGTGAGGCTCTTTCTCGAATTGCTGGATCTATTAGTCAGGCAAAGAGAGATGAGTGGAATAAGTCCATTGTTAAACTGCTTAGTGATCCCCTAACGCCAGAAGCACAGAGATACCTAGACGAACTTAACTTATGGTACAAGAACGACATGGAAGTCAAAGATTCAGTGGAACAATTACGAAATGAGCTGCAGCAAGTCAGAGATCAGAACAAAATTATCCAGCAAAAACTAGGTAACCTTCCAAAATATTTAACAAACTAAAAATATTTTAAAAATCGAGATCGACTGAATTCCTTAAGCTTGGCTTAGTATATCCGGATAATAATATGATCACAATTGAAAGTTAAGAGTTAGTACTGTTTCAAGTAGCTTAGGCTGTGCACAGTCAGTCTCTCTTTTGGTTTAAAATCCGTTGAGAAGAACGCAAACGCTGAGAGAACGAGCGCAATTTTCGAGGAGCGAGGGGCGAAACATGAGCTACTTTCGACTTACGAGTTTGCCACTCGAAAATCGTGCGTTTGCGTTCTTCTTCTTTTGGAGCAAAAGAGTCGGAGTGCTGTCAGTCTAGGCGTAATTTGAACGGAAACTTTACTAGGCCACCGTGCTTATTGAATCACACGATTGCAGTTTAATACAGCATTTGTCCTTCACAAGGTCATCAAGGATCGGTTAAAGTTGATGAATTTCACTTGGTATCATTTTCTTTTTTACTTACAGACTCTCCTCAAATTCAAATTCAAATCACGGTGGAGAGCGTCTCGCAAGGTGGAAATACCATTAACCCGAGAACGGTGATCACATTCCCCAGTAGCCAAGAGCAACCACAATCCAGTTATCCTCATCAAAGAAACCGTCGGGATCCTTCAACAGAGATTAGCTTTTGGCAAGTCGTTCTGTCATTTAAGGAATCCTTCAACTTGTTTCTAGAATACTTGAGAGTTCAGCTGGAAGTCGGTGTTGCAAACTACAACTTAGGAAGTTTGTTGATAACTGTGACATGCAGCTCACTGCAAATCCTTGAAGGTCTGTGGAAAGATTACAGCAGCGGCCATCTCAATGAAGTAGCGGAACAAAGACTTGTGACAGCTCCAGTCTTGCAGAAGCTGGGCCTTGATGAAGTGAAACTGAAAACTACAATTACAGAGGATGAGTACAGAAAACGCAAAATGTTCTTTCTGGATAGAGAACAGGTAAGACTAAAAATTATCAAGGTTGTCTGTTGAATTTGAATTTGTGTTGATATTTACCAAACTTTCAGAGTTGATCCCTCCCTTACAGGACAGCCCTGCTGTTCATGATGCATTGGCTGGCGAGATGGAAGGTTGTCGCCTGAACGCTGCACTGATACGTTCTTACGGACCGAACATGGGTTACAGTAAGGAACAAAGAGAAGATGAAATCTCCCAGCTGTGTGGTCGATTACTTGAATACACGGTCGGGACTTACGAGACGTTCCATGACGCCAGGGAGGGCGAGATGGAAGGTTGTCGCCTAAATATCTCGATCTTTGGTATGACTGGCTCTGGAAAATCAGCTCTGATTAATACTATCTTCAAGTCATTGGATAGCAAGTCGGAGCATATGGCTACAACTCAGGACGCTGGAAAGGAAGGTACTAAGATGCTAGACTCTTATGCTGTTCCGAAGACCCAAATAACGCTCTTCGACACTCCTGGATTCTTCGAGTTGGACAGAACGGAGGAAGGTAACTTTTTATTTTAGCTCTGAGTTAGTTTTTCCTGAGTAGTAGAAAGAAAATCTGATTACTACTATTACATGCAGTGTACTTGCGTTTCCCCGCGCCGCTCAACCGAGAGCTTTGTTCAGTTGGGTCTGGGATGTGATAACTTATATCTATTTCTTGATCTGCGAATCAGGAA